TGTTTATTACTGTGATCTGCATTTATTTATTCTATTTCAGTGCTTCCCAACGTATTTTCCTAAAAGCACCCCTTTTCCAAGCTGAGCCCCTGCCAATCCCGACCTCTCCCCAAAATGTGTTTAACCTTTATTTCTTTTATCTAAATGATAAAAGAATAAAGAGAATAAAGAGAAGGAGAGAAGGGTGGCTCAGTTGGTAGAGCTGATGCCTTTCAGCAAGAAAGTTGCCAGTTCAAATCCTGGCCCAGGGACCTCAGTTTGCATGTTCCATGCATGCGTGAGTTCTCTTTGCCGGCTTCCTCCCACAGACCAAAAACATGACTGTTATGTTAACTGATAACTCTGAATTGTCCCTAGGTGAGAATGAATGTTTGTCTCTGTGTGGCCCTGTGATGGACTTGCAACCTGTCCAGGATTTACCCCACCCCTCACACTGTGACTGCTGAATATGGGCACCAGTGACCCCCATGACCCTGAAGGAATAAGCGGGTATGGATGGATGGAATAAAGAGAATGGTTACAAACTTTTATTTTAAAATGGAAGGAAAATAAGAACTGAGCTGCACAGAGTTTTAATTATTCAAATGAACTTGTTTATAAGTGATTTTTATAAACAAAACAATAAATTGACATTTTCACAACCTGGTTATGGTCCCAACCTGTTCTATGTATTCAAAATATTGTTTTCCCTCTTTTTATTTTAAAATACAGGTTTTTGCAGGTTTTCAAATTCCTTTGAGATTTTTAAACTGATAACTTTAACTTTAATCCCAGGAGTTTTTTTTAGAGAAGATGGTTCTACTTTCTTTTTTTTTCTCCTTAATTTTTGAAACTGGGAAACCTAAAGGGAAATTTGCAACCTAAGAGCCAAAACGTTTGATGACATGGAGCTACATCATCTTTACAGAACAAAGTAAATAAATATTTGCTGGACTTATATTTTGTTGAGAATTAGAGGCTCCACCTAATGAAGGACCCAAACCACCAAGATGTTTCTAACGAACCGAGTTTGGAACATTTGGTCTGTAGTAAACTGATATAAAAAGATAATGAAGTAGTGAATTTGTCGCGTTGGTTGAGTTCACCATTTTTATCTTTAGGTACTGTTTCAGCTGTGTTTGAATGGTTAGTATCTTTCTAACCCCATGAATCGAACTCCATTCTTACATCCTAGATTTGTGGGGGTGAATTCAAAGTTTTCTTGGTCACCTCTGATAAAGCAGAGAGGAAACTATTTCACCTAACGCTGTATTAAGTGGATAGAATTAAAATTTGCAACTTGATTTTAAGTGATGTTGTTGCTTATAACCCTTAAGAGAAAGCACAGAGAGTGCACCATGAGAGGAAGTGTGATCGGAGGTATTTCAAAATTGCTCTTTCTGTTCAGTAGGAGGGTGTGAAGCGGGGTAAAATGCAAACTCTCTGGTCTTCCACTCGTTCACTGTGGTCGTAGACTTTGTTGCACGAAGCTAAATTACCATCACTGGTTTCACTTTGATGAGGACAGCAACAGTAGCTCTGTTCACAGGTGCTGGCTGATGCATCTGCAGATTCTTTTGTCTTTTTCTGACTACTCATAAAACATCTCGACTTGAACCAACCAGAAGTGAGCCCACCCATTTTCTGCAACGTGTTTCTACACGTCTCTGCAGCTCCAAGCCTCTTGTTCTCAGCTTTCCCTTCGAAGTGACAGTCTTGGCCTCTGGAGGATCGTTTCACACTGAAATACTTTGTTTCTTCCCAAAAACTAAAAAAAAAAAACAAATAAAAAAATCTCAGAGGGAATGGCAGAGCGGGGTCACTGCTCTGCGTTTGTAGTGGACACTCATATGATACGACCTGCGGTGCCGCCGAGGCTGAAGAAAGGGGGCCAACGTAGCCTGAGCGCTGCTCAGACCCTCTTGTTCCTGCTGGTGGCCCTGGCGCTGTGTGGCATGATCATCGAAGCCTGCTTCATTTATCGACTCTACCAAACTGAACAAGTAAGTCTAAAAACCTTAGAACATCTTTTATGGTTCTATTTTAACCTTTTTATTTTATTAAAAATATATTTGTTTACTTTTTAACCCCACTACAGTTGACTTTCATGACTTGATCTTAATCAGCTTTACTACCTATTCTCAGTTTCAGSTTTTATTTTTACATTACGACAGTTTTATTTCCTCTGTTTGTCAGACATTGTCACCGTTCTTCAGAATAATTTGAGTAACACTTAAATATGAAATGCAAAGATCAAGAAAGTCAACTTTGGAAAATGGGGAGTTCGCTATGGGGTGCAAGTTACCCGGTCAAAAATTACCACCAATATTTTTGTTTTATTTAGCCTTTTAAAAGAACAGATTTATTTTTCAAAGTCAGTTTTTTACCATATGATTCATACATTTATAAATGTCATAGTTTATAAACTAAATATTTAACTTACAAATTAAATATTCAGTTAACAAGCTAAATATTTAACTTAAAAAATGAAAATATAATTCTGTTCTTTTTCTTATAAAAGGCTAAATAAAACAAAAATATTGGTGGTAATTTTTGACTGGGTAACTTTACAAACAGGACCTCATAGTTCGCGGCAAACTTTTTACACTTTTTGTATTTTTTTGTGTTCGTTAAGTTTTAAAAATGAGTTAGAAATGAAGGYGCTTACATTGTTTACAGATTTCATCACAAAGCTGAACAATTATATCTTTGCCCGTGTCTGTACATATGTTATAATATCTTGACTTGTGGAAAATAATCATTCAAGTTGATTCAAAATGGCTGCCACCATCAACAAAATGAAAAATGGTTAGAAGTTGGTCAGTTTCACAGATATTGTTGTAAACTGTGATGTGGTAGCGTGTCAGTCACAACACATACATCTACTCACTGCACAAGATCCTTGCTTTAGTGCTTTAGGGCTTTTGCTATATTTAAAATTTATTAGTGGATTAGCACTTGCCAAATTTATAGGCCAAATTTAGAAGCACTAACTGAGGTCTATAAATGTTATTGATCAACGTTAATGTTTACAGCTGAGGGTGAAAGCTGTCACACGTTTTGTTCATATGTGTGTCACTTATCCACCAGGTGACATTATATGAACTCAAATATGGCTGTGCCAATGAAAAGAAGAGAGCAACATGACAACATGTGACTCATGTTGTCTGTTGAAGAATGTTCATGGGTTGACTGGGTTATTTTAGTGCTTTAGAATTAGCTTTTGCTATAATTTTCAGTGCGTTAGTGCTTTAGAATTAGGGGACCTAAATATTTGAGTTAGTGCTTCAGGGCTAGTGGAACTAATTTTTAGATTAGTGCTGCCCACCACTGCAACTGTAGACATCAGCCCTGTTTGTCTGACAACAAAATTTATCACAAAACACTGGATGGATTTGAAGGAAACTTTAAGAAAATAATCCTTGGGGTCAACCAACTTAAAAATAAACCCACTACAAATCAACATTAGCCAGCACAAAAGTAATAGAACTCCATAAGTTTTACTTAAATCCCTCTAAAATTTAAATCGGGTGCAGCCGAGAGTCATTCAAAATGCACACTCAGACATTTTGTGACATTTGTAATATTACACAAGATTGCTCACGTTGTAAGSTTTGACCAAAACAACTACAACTCTKTCGTTTCTCAACTGCACAATCTTAGTCTAAAACTCTAAAATGAACGCTTATGGAAGACTATCATTCCTATAAGGAATGCTGAATGGTAAACTGTTGTTAAATATGATGCACAGACTTGGGAATTGTCTCTTATTTCCATAATTGTTTAGGGAGRGAAAGAGTTTTGAAAGAAGAATCTATATTGTGACGCAAAACCAAGTTTATTTTTTCCTTACACGTGAAAAATTTTGTCCTGAAACTGCTGAGTTTGAATTATTTCACTTTAATGGGGAAGTGAGTAGACCAGAAATGGAGAAGTACATTAAATCGGACTCGTTTACAAAAACTTCCAGTGACATCTTTGGGAGCAATGGCTGACAAACGTGATGCTCTACAGTTGTGAAAAGTTGCCGATCACTGTTCTGACTCAGTTACTCATGGTCTGTTTGCGTGTGAGGGCAGTGGTCTCGGGGGTTTTGACATCGGAAGAGATCGAAATGTTTTTCTGAGAAACCGATGGTATAGACGCTGCACAAACAAGGGATGGTGCAGACAAGGAAATGATCTGCTGTCTTTATCACCGTCTTGATCAACCATTTGTTTATTTTCAGAAAGACCACTGTTCTACTTTTAAGCAACGCCTTGCAGAAAAAGGGTCTTGCACTTAATGCCATTGTTGCCTTTTTCATCTTTTTCCACAGCTTGGTTGCATTCACACCAGTRGTCATGGAATGGTGTTTTAGTTTTCCAACATGCACGTACACAGGTCAAAGCCTAACTGCTTACATTTTTTTCCTTCTTTCCACCATTGTAGATCTCCTCAGCAACAATCTCAAAACTCCTTGCAGGTATGTCTCTGGCACGTTTTTTTTTTCTAGTATATAGTTTCAGTTTCAGGATGAAAAACTATAAAGTTTCATCTTCAAACAGATGAAACTTCTCCCACAAGACCTCCTGGTGAAGATCTTCCTCCATCCAAACCAGTCGCACATTTAACAGGTAAAACCAGAACTCTTGTTTCTGTCAAGGTAATGGTGATTTTAATACAAATTCAAGACGTAAAACGTTGTTTGCTTTGCAGACGGCGCAGATGTGGAGCATCACAAACATGTCATGAGATGGAGCATGGTCGCAGATCCAATCCTTCACAAGATGAAGTACGAAAACGGGACACTTATCATCCAGGAAGAGGGCTACTACTATGTCTATTCCAAGGTTTTCTTTTTCTTAAGCAGTGAAAGCTTTACTCATGAAATAAACGTAAAGACTGAAAGGTACACTGGAGGATCCATTCTCCTCTTGCAGTCCAGGAACATTTCTCCAAGGTCTGGTAGAATCCAATCCAACAGTTTTCTGGGGGGAGTGTTTCACTTGTACAAAAATGATGCCGTTTACGTACATACGAGCAACACAGCAAGAATCGCACGGCACAAATCGGTTGAGAACGTCTTYGGTGCATATATGATATAAATATCACATTGATATTTTCCTATTAGTGTAAAAGGGAAGTGAGAGGATGTGATTGAGACGTGATTTTGAGAAAACCTTAAAACTTTAGCTGGAATGTTTTCTCGTGAGGATGGGTAAGGTTAGTTATTTAGACTTAGAAAAGCTTTTTATGAGAAGCAGATATTACTTCAAAAAGACACTTATAGTAAACGATAGAGGTACTTCTTCTTCATCAGAAATCCAGACTACTAATCCGACCTGAGGAAGCCACAATAGATAACAGCCAACGACAAGACACGGCTGTTTCAGATTATGTGTCACGGCAACGACATGGAATCATGAGTCCCTTCTTTTTGCACAATAATTAACTCAACATCTTGAGACAATAACATAAGAATTAATAATATGTATGTCTGGTCTTAGTTTTTCTAAGCAATTTGTTGACAATGCATGTCTGAACTTGTCCTCTCCTCTTAGACAMATCAGAACTTTGCTCAGGGATTTTTTTTTTGTTGTTAAATGTGTAAAACATCAAAGTGACATGTGTGAAATGCTCTCTGCACTTTGAACTTTGTGGTGGCTTTCTGTATGCGAGTRAAAACTTTTTAAAATCAACATCAAATCAAAATGAACAAAGTGACAGATTTAGCTGTTTTTGATGATCTTTGTATTATTTCAAATCAATTTATGCAGAAATTTTAAAAAGACAAAGACTGGGATTTTGTTTTTTTTTATACTTTGACCAGTTAAACATTATTTATTCTTTCCAGATAAAACTGTATTGTAATTTTTTAAAATAATTTTGCTGTATTTATGCAAAACTGCACTGAAATAAACTTGTAATCACCTGAAAACTCAGTTTGGTTTTCTGAAGTCTCACTTCTTATGCTTTGTGAGTCAAATGAATTTGTTTCCTGTGGTATCAGGCGGGGCTGTGCTGAAGTAATGGTGGTCTCATTATCAACAAAAAAAGAAAAAAAAAAGAAACAATCACCCACGCTCTACAACCACACGACAGACTTTATGTACCTGCTTTTTACGACCATGCTGACATGAACTAAAAAAAGGTCATAAACTGGTTAAACACATTGTGATGTGACCTTACAGCAACTGGTTTTCTTTCAGCTTAGGAGATTTGGCTCTTTTTTTACACCACATGTCCTGTTTGACACAACCTGGGCTGGAACCTGCAGCTAAACTGCAGCACTGACCACTGAAGTGATGTCATTGCATCAGTAAAATCTGGAGGTTAAATTCATAGTTGAAAGGAGCCACTGATTGTCATCATCTACACATGCTGCTCTAGGCTTTTCCATTTGTTATAATGTCACAAAATCAGTTTCGACTTGATAAGTGCTGACCTGTGCAAAACAAACGCTCTCATGACTCTTTGAAGCTGKTTTTTCTTCTTCTTTTCTTCGTCTCTTTTTTGCATCTCACACATTCACGTTACGCTTTCCCTTCATAGGGGACTGTTCGCAGAAGCCGCTTTTGAAAACACCCACGGAGTTGTATACTTGTAAACTGAGGAGGAAGTGGTGGTGGGGGCCGCTGGAGGGGAGGGGAGGGG